CTACTACTACTTCTACTACTACTAGGCCTAGTCCTGGTCCCCTAATCCCACTCCCAGCAGCAGCAGGTGTAAAGCAGTAGCTGTTAGGATGAGTCGGGGTCGTAGGTCGCGGGTCGGACGTCGGAGGTCGTGCGTGGGTGGGCGGGTGCGTGGGCGGGTGGGGTGTGTGGAACGGATTGGAAGGGGTTTAGGTGTGGAAAGTAGGCAGGTAGGCATGTAGGATTACGTAGGTATTTCCTGCTGGCCACGAGACCTGCTGTGCAGAAACCCAAGACGGACACCACCACGAAGCGCTTGTCCTGAAGCAACACAAACATGCAGAACAGCAGCAGCCAATTGGCAACTAAGCCCATAGAGAGAGGCAGCTCTCCTTCTTGCCGGTCTTTGGGTCTGGTGCCAGCTGCTCCAGGAACAGAGGCGCCTGAAGGAAGCGGAAGGGAAATCGTGGAGTCTAACCAAACCTGCACTCTTGTCACCTCACGCTGCAGGCTCCAAGGAGAGAGCGTTGTAGTGCGCCAGGAAGGCCGTTGCCAAAATGCTCAACAAGACGCTAAGACCTGCAAGTTGCGGAGAAGGAAAGAGAAATCGAGAAGGAACCGAGCGAGACATAGAAAAAAGAAGACTCTAGGGGAAAGAAAGAAAACCCGGGCGAAGCACCTGCCAACCCTTGTAACTTTGATGCTCTTATTCACTGTCCTACAGTAGCAACGCTGATGGCAACTTATCGTCCAAAGCCTAGAAGATAGGCGCGAATGTTCCATGTTTTGCAGATTTTTTGGCCGCTGGCGTGATGCCCAGATGCTTCTGTAATTTGCGTTGCAGAATTGCCATGCTTCTGATGATTTTTGTTTGTTCTAGTCACTGCAGGCGCGCGCACACGACGCGCAAGTTATCTGGTATTGAGATGGGTGTTGGCCAGTTTTGATTTTCTTTGAACCAGTGTGCTGATGGACCGTCGAACTATGCCAGATCGCGCCTGGACTCATCACGGTGTGCCAGGCGCCCGTAGGCGCAGCGAACCTGTGTGATGAGGGCACTGCGATAGCTTTGGGGATCCGGGTTCAGGTCCAGACTGTGGCGCAGCGGGTGCTGCAGCCACCAAGCTGCCTCCCTGGCAGGGTATCATCTAGGAACTGCCGGGGACTTGCAGGAATATTATGTCCCACTCTGGCTAGGTGCACCTTCCGGTAGGAGTGGTCCAAGCAGCGCAACACCACGAAAGCACAGATGTAGAAGTTACTGAGCCTTGATTCAAACGAGGCTTGCCGGCAGTGACTCGCAGGCTGCAGCTTGGGCAGCGGCACACCCAGCAGAGAAAACTTGGCCAGTGGTGCGAACCTGACTCTACGACCGTGTCCTGGTGTTCGAAGTCCGGATTCAAAGATGTGAGAGATCTGCAAGGGTCTGGGAGCACAGCGACTTCATGCTGCAAAGAGGGTACAGTACCTGACGGTGCGCAGGGTGTGGCCATGAAGCTGGAAATCTGTCCCTCACGATGGTTACCTGAGCCCGGGCACCACTGTGGTCATCAGCAAGATCACTGCGTCACGGCTTGCAATCACTGCAGGCCTTGCACTGTTGAAGTGGCAGAGAGTGGGCAAGGCGATAGAAGGATGGAACAGCATGACGAACAACGCTACAAGCATAGTGTCTTGGCAAAAAACAGGGCACACATGGCACAACTAAACATGCTCGATCAGTGGAAAAGCGCGCAAAGGCAGGCTTTGGGACTATGGCGAAATCAGGCATCTCGCTGAGGCCGCAGCAGATTCAATGGAGCTAACCTTGGTCTAAAGCTTGTTCATCATTGCCCTAGACATGATTGAAGCATGCTAATGCACTGAAAGCAGAGCTAAGAAGTGCATCATCAGCTTTGCTTTGAGTGCTTAACGTCGTGGAGACAGGAGACAAGACTGTACTTCGAATGGACAGGCTTCGCACGGCCTAAGGAGTACGGCCAGTCTACGGCCACTCTTTCAACATTGGAATTCAAGAGCAATGATTGGTCGGCTATGGCTTTCAAGGCTTGGCATTCAGGGCTCTTGGATAGCTTCGAGGTCTCCGAGGGTGTGCGATGGAAGATCTTCGACTCCTTCAAACCGCGAAAAAACGAGTGCAGACATGCCGCATCAAGGAGATGCAGTCACCCAGAATCATGGAGAAGGCGATGCATCCGATTGCAGCCTGCAAGTGTAGGACACACATTACGAATCCTCCATGCAATGTACTTGTGATGTGTGACAGGATCAAGATGTCCTGAGGCTCACATTTTGGACTATACTCTAACAAACTGCCGCATGCTGACGAGCATGATGCGCATAAATCCCAAGCCTTTTTGGTGGCTTTTTGACTTGCGCAAGTCCGCTTGAAATCTCTTTACAATCATTTACCAGTCTTGGGAACTTTACGGTGTCAACCAGCTATGTCTGTCGCGATATATCCTCGTGATCTGGCCACGAACTTCATGCGCCCTAGCGCGACAATCACGCTTCCCCCACGCGATCGATATTCTCAGATTCTCGGTATGGCAGAGTATTTGCTTCAGAATTTGTTGCAGAACTTACAGTTCCGCTGTGCGCAACTGTGATTTTCAAACGCTGCCATTACCTTTTCCAACATGCTCGGCATTGGATGAGAGTTGGGCCAAAGACGCTAAATCGTTCTTCTGCATGACTCGGATAACTTATCCAAGCTACCGTCCGACATGCACAGGATTTTGCGAACCGCGACAGTCGGCGATTTCGGGCAGATTGAGCAGAAAGGCTTGATGACAGAACCTGTACCATTTTGTCTCGTAGTGCTGACAGGCTATCGGCTTCGTGATGAGATTTCCCGAGCCTTCGCAAGGCAAGCGACTGCAGGCAGGAGCTTTGTGCTCTCGGAAACGCTCTTGGCCCAGACCCTCAGCGAACGCTGCGGTCATGCTGTAGACAGTCTTATATAGTGTATATATATATATATACACCCCGACACCGCGCGACTGAGCTTCTTGGCTTGGTGTAGGTGCTCTCACCTGTTGCCTCGCATGCTTGGGCAATCAAGACCTCAGAGGCGGTCTCAATGGCGGTGCAAGACCGGAATCAGAGATGAGAACTATGCACCCCGGAAACTCAGAGGGCGGCAAACCCATAGGCACCTCGGTGACGCGTCTCTTGCAATTGACTCTAAACGCCTGAAATAGCCTGAAACACTAGATTTGTGATGAACTCCAAAGCACTGACACTCTTGTCCAGGCCAACTCTCCCCTCGGCCTCACCCACGCTACTCTTTTTTGCGCTTCTCACGCAAACGTGTTGAGGTCGGCACTGAATACCGCGGCAAGGAAAGTGAGAATCAGCGACGGTGCCACGGCCTCTGCCAAGCCGTGTCGAGGGACATGTCGAATTGATATCAAGGAGCATGTCATCGAATACTGCTGCAGCTCTTCGGTCCCCGTGGCCTGAGGGCTTGCACTCACAGCTGCCACCTGGGAGGATCACTGTTTACATTTAGATTCAATGCAGCGTTGGTACAGCAGCGGTTGAGCTCTGAGACTTTGGCACCATGGGGAAGGGAGAGCATGCCGGCGCCAACAATATTCTTGACCAGATTGACCTGAGTCTTGCTGAGTGCTGAATTAAGGTGGCTTCTGTTCTATGCCGGACCGCGCTCTTGGAAGGCGGCTGTGGACTGCGTAACAGAGCTCAGCTTCACCTGAAACTTGCAGAGGCTTGAAGAGCCAGCACAACGCACTTTCCGAAAGTGCGGAAACCGAGGCACCTCCTGAGTCATTTCCTGCGCCTCGGACTCATCGGTGGAACTTCTGCAAATGGCACGCGTCATACGCGTCCTGTGAGGGACCGGCAAAGACTGCGAAACAGCTTGGAGCAGCAGGCGATTCACCGTCACCCAATTCAATCGATGGTCCTGCCCGATTTGAGGTGGCTCCGCTCCTGTGTATAGCACTGCACCCAAGCAAGAGCTCGCGATTGGTGCTGTGTGACTGCACGTAGGCGAGCTACCAACAGCGCTCTGCTGGTACGAGTACCTGTTGAAAGACGCGCTAACGAGCTGCTTAGTCATGAAGGCGCTAGAGAATGGCAATCGTCGAGAAGAAATAAAATGCTAGGACAGGTATGGGGGCGAACAAGCGTTCCGCCCAGGAGCCGCAAATGACTGGTCCTGTCCGCGCAGAAATCAAAGACAGTCAAAGCGGGACAATGCCTCTGCAGTCTCAAGAGACTACACGATGCACCAAGGGCCTGAGACACATGCCGCAGAAGTGCGACTAGAAGCAGACATGATGTGCACCTGCCATAAGACAAGCTGGGTGCTGAAGGCAGCAGCAAGTGTCAGCGGGGCCACTGCCTTCTGAAGGTCACGCATCCCTGGCTTGCTGAAAGAGAACTACTGCCGGTAAAAAGACAGACATGTGTCAATGCCCAGCTTCTGTCACGACTACTTCAACAACACACCAGCTCTGTACCCCCTCAAAAAGGCAAGAACACAGCCCATGCCATTTCTGCCACGGGGCCCGCGATCTTGAGGAGCAAGGAGCGTCCCGGGGCATTGTGGCTATCAGCATGGCAGAAACTGCTAAAAGACGGCACTTTTCTTTCGACTACTGCGGCACTTCATCGCATCACTTCTTACGCTTGGGCGATATCAAACCTGGCTTCAGCCGCGGTGAAAGACTGAAGGACTGGAGGCGCTTCAGTGGCAGTCAGTGGCACTTGCTAGACGGGGCCAGGCAACGCTGCAGCGCCGCTCACACATCTGATTCAACTTTCAATCTGTCGCCATCGTCACAACGAGGCTGCGGAGCCGTCTGCTCGAGAATCTCCGCTCTGAACTTTTTGCCAAGGGGACAGCTGGGCATCTGTGGTCTGAAAGTATCATCAGCAACATCCTAAGATGAAACCGGTCAGCGCGTCTTCACGACGAAGCTGCAGAGCCTTCTGCCCGAGCGTCATTCATTCCGCTCTTATCTTTCCCCATGCAGGCAGCTGGGCATCTGTCGTCTGAGAGATGTTGGAGAATGGTACTTTCAGTCTGAAAGTACCATCTCGAACACACTACACTGCATTGTCATTGATGCAGATGAAACCGGTCAGTACGTCTGTCAACGCTTGAAACCTGCAGTCGTTGGCTCGTCTGGTCGGCCGGGTCGCGAGGGTCTAGGATCGACGAATACGTCAGAATACGTCATAATACGTCAAAAAACCAGAGGTGAACATAGATGCAAAGGGCTGACGGCCTGGCCTGGAACAGGCACCTGGGTCATGGCCACCAATCCTTAGCGATTGCGCCGTCTTACGGAGCCGAAGTGAAAGTTACGGTCACGGGCATTGCCGGCAAGCCGCGGCCGTTGGCGGCAGGATTGAAGTGGTACGCTGTTGGATCACCTGCTTTGGGCTCAGGGGGATCAAGCCGGCTCGCTTCTGCGAGGTGGAGCTGGTTCATTGACACGCTGGAAATGCCGGTGCGCCGCGGGAGTGCAGAATCTAATCACCAGGTTACCAGGTGAGTCTCCGTCGTTCCGCGTCCTGTGCAGTCTCCTTGATTTTCGAGACTTGAACGCCTGGACTTTCCTTTGGTGACTAGATAAGTCTCTTGTTGGGAAGGGCCGCCTATTGCTGGATTTTGGAGTGGCTGCCAAGCTTGCACGCATGAGGACAAGGGGGAATCTAGATATATATATATATATACATATAGGTCACGCGGAGGAGGTGGTTGATCCCACTGCGCTATGGCTGATTGCGATGGCCAGTGTGCAAAATGGGCTTCGACTCCAGAAGTGATAAGACGTGGCAGGGGAAGCTGCAGTGCCAAGAATGCAAATCGCAGCACCTGTGCTGCGCGCACGAAGTGGAGAAAGCTCACGATGCCTGGCGCATCGTCAGACCATGAAGAAAGCTCAACGCAGCTGTGCCCTTCGCGGTCAAGTCGATTCACCCCCGTTCTTATCCGACATATCCGACTGGAAGCTAAACATCCTGGTCTTGACTTTCTCTTTGAAGGCCTGGGCTGATATTGCATTGTAGACCTTATCGGTGACACTCCGCGAATAGGCGAAGCCCCCCGCACCGGTGAAGCACCTGGCCAGATTTTGGTGGAGCATGTCAGCAGCAAAGGATGCCTTCACAGTTGCGGAGCCGCCTTGCCTCGGATAGGCGAAGCTTCACGAATAGCTTCACGGACAGGAGACATCGGCCTCCCAATCCTGCAGTCAAGCAGTCGTTGCAGTGCACCTGCTGTATGGAGCTGCGGCCTCGTGGTAACAGAATGGAGCACTGGTGGCCCAAAGCCAACAACCGTGGGAGGGCCATAGCCTGAGATGTCATTGTGTAGGCAGTCTAGATACAAAACCCTTCGGAATGGAACTCACAGGCTGCCATGGCCATTGCCTCCGAGAAACTAACAGTGGTGAAAGAAGGAGCCGGGGCAATCTCCCCACCTGCAAAAGCAGCACTCTAGGTATCACTCTCCGATTCATACGCACCGTGCTTGCCTGCAAACTGCTCGTATCCATCTTCGTATCCTCCACCGGCATCGTACACACCACCGCCGTCGCCATCCAAGCTGCCAAAGTAATCAGCCGCCAAAGGAGCTTGGATCGATCCGTAAGAAGCTGGATGCATGCCTCGGCAGTTCTTGATTGTGAACCCCTACAAATCCTCGTCTCAGAACACCAACAGCATCCGAACATGCCCGACCTATACCTCGGGGCTTCGACAAGGATGGATGTCAACAGCACATAACGTGCTTCACACTCTACAAGCTCACGAAGATTACAACGAAATATCTCATACGAAAAACTGATGGCAGGACCTACACTCCAACCCTTCGATGTAGGTCCGTGCGAGGGCCGGCTTCGTCTTCAAAACCTGAATATACTAAACCAGTGCTTGCTCTTTCAGTCTCGAAGTCAATCACGTGACGCCACGGTGCCAAGGTCGGAAACCGGGCCATGGTCGCTGTAGATGTCTGCTTCACGGGTGACGGGCAAGCCGATGCTCCCACAGTAGCCTCGAGACAGACCTAACTTCTTCGACCCGACTCAGCTGCGGTAGGTACTTATACTGTAGACCATGGACGAATGTGACGGAATCGGACTCTTGAATCTCTGCCAAGCATCAGGCTCGTGACCTTGGATTCCAATCGAGCAGCATGACTCCGGGCAATGTCATGGCAATTCCTCTCTGATTCACGAGCTGATGTCATACACCGCCTGCCTCCAACGACTCCCTGGAATCCACGATTTCCTACTGTGGAGCTGTGCAGAACAATCTAAACCGCAATTGATGCTTGCCAGCAAGGCACTGCTGGTAGTTTTGCGCCGGGGTTGAAGTCGGATAGTCAGGATAGATTTCATCAGCATACGGAGTAACATCAGCATATGTAACATGTGCAGGTTCCGGTGGAACATATGCAGGTTCCGGCGGAACATATCCCGGATAGGGAATTGGCTGCCTAGGTTGGCGAAAGGCCAGCCGAAGTTACAAGCAGAAGCCTCCATCACCATCGCAGTCATGCTTACGGCACTTCTTATGTCCTTCAAGCCACACCCCAAACCGTGAGAATGGCAGTCCTTGCAATGCTGCTTACATCACACCTGCACTGACCTGGGGAAGGCAACGTCCACGACCGGGTGGTCGCATGGGGGAGCAAAAGCCTTTTAATTACCTTTTCAAGATGTAGCCGGTTCCTGCCGGCTCTGAGATACGAACCGCCTCAGCCCTGCAGCAGCCCTGCTGTATTACGGAAGAGCTAAGTTTTTGCTTACTGCCGGGAGCCATGCCAGAGACGCTTCATGTTGCAGTGTCTCTGCAATGCACTCCGGGTTTGTTCCGCGGACAGACCTAGCAGTTCTCATAGAGATGCAATCTTTTCGGTTGTTGTGGCTGCCTTGTAAGCGAATGCGCGAATCTGTGAATGTAAGCCTTGCAAGCTCGAGCGGTCTTGCCCGATGAAACAGATGGCTTGAAGCATCTTGACATGAGCCGAGAGGCACAGAACATTCCACAGGCGCCTGTTGTTCCGGCTGATACGGGCCTGCAACTGGGCTCCAAAATCATCACTTGCACTGTGAAATCGGTCGTCATGGTTTGGCCCCGCTTCCACCCTGCTAAAGCAACACGGCGAGTCTGGGTGAGTCTGCAGCAAACTGCACCTGGATCCAATGCTGCGAATTTGCCAGAGAGGTCCTTGCAACCCCGCGAAACTTCTGCATGCAGTAACTGTAACTGCAGGCTCCAATCGTGACCTATGCTGCTTATAGCTGCGACATGACGAGATGGTGTGCCAGCGCGTCCTCAGTTGCAGCCTCGATCTGCTTGATGAGCTCCTTCTCCATCACGCTCATTTGCTGTCAGGGAACGAGACCATAAACCAGCACTATGGTACAACTGCAACATGACCATAATGTCTGCAGGGCCTGCTGAATCTTCTGCTCCATTTGAGCGACGGGCTCTGCACTTATCGTGGCCAACTTGGACAGCACAAAACTCATCACTTGCAGCAGCTCTGCTTGAACATACTCGAACACGAACATAGCAACGACGAGCCTGAGACACTACAAAACTTCTGGGCTGGCACACTGCACGCGCCGTCCTGAAATATCTCGAAACTTCTTCGCCAAGCCGCGACCTTAACCAGATCGGAATTGTCGCCGAGGCTGCCTCTCGGTCTCGTCAGCACAGGCGAGAGGGGAGGCCTGGGGGACAATGGGACATCTGCTCAAGTCCTGCCTCCGGTTGGCGCTGCCTTGGATGCAATGATGCACCCCGCACCAAAGCACGATCCCATGTCGGGACAGAAGAGTTGCAGCCCTTTCAACGGCT